TGGCCTGTCAACGGCCAGCGCCTGCCAGTAGGAGCAGGGGAGGCTCCCGGGACCGCGCGGCAGCATCGGCGTCACTCATGCAAGCTGCACAGAGAAAACGATTGTGCGCCGCTCAACTGCGAGTAGTTCGCAAGAGGCTCGAAGCAACGGAGATGCGAGATCTCGGCCTGCAGTCGCAAACTGAAAAGCACAAAACGAACGCGAGACAACGACGACGGCCAGTGGAGTGATGGATAGGAAACAGCCGCTCGGCACCAGCAATCCTCGGGAACAGCTCGGATTTCCGCCCACCCTCCCATTTATCGTGCGCATATCGCGGCCGGCCGCTGTTCGCCCGTGCTCGTTGCTGGCAGAAGGCAGCAGCCACTGTTCAGCTGCGCATCGAATAACCCGGGATGTGCATATAAGGGCTTGGCTGAGGCAGCGCTGGCAGTGTTCACGTGGGCGCAGCTCGGCCGGCTGCTCGGGCCTGGCTCTGGCGCATGGGTTCTCTGCTTCGCTGGCTTGCGATTCGAAAAGCGGTTGGTTGCTCTCCGTCTGCATCTGTTCTCTTTTGACCGGACCCTGCTCCAGTGCATCCGTGGGCCCTCTGCTGGGATTGGCCGCTGCTCCTCTGCATTCGGGGCAGGGGGCTGCGCTGCTTTTGAACATACCAGATGCGCGGCAGTGCGCCGGTTCCGGGATGCTCTCACTTCCGGTGTGATGATGACGATTCTGTCGGCATTCGGCGCTTGTTGCATCGGTCCTTCTGCGCGGTTCGCTGTTACGTATATGTTGGGGCGGCCGCTGGCCTGCTAGCTTTAGCTGCGTTCCGGATGCGTTGCTTTGCACGCCGGGTGAGTTGCTGGTGCAGTTGTGGCCGGACCCGTTCCAGTGGGGCGGAGGGGGTGCGCGCTTGCAACGCTTGGGCTTAGTAGACGGAGTGGCGTTGGACGTGCTGCTTCAAGCAGACATCGCACGTGCTGCTGTGCAGTGTCGGTGCCACTGATTGTGCTGCATTGCAGGAGGTGTGCAGGCCGAGCATGACGACACCATCGCGACGACGCCTGATGCGCGACTTCAAGAAGCTTCAGGCAAGCCACTGCTTTTTCACGTGCTTCTTGGCACTGCTGGTGTGCGCCGCCTATCGAGGAGTACGCATACACCGCACGCACGCCATCTCTCTCGCTCTCTCTGTGCTTTGTTTTTACTTTTACCAGCCATCACCATCATCGTTACAGGATGCGTGTTTCAGGAGGACCCGCCAGCTGGGGTCAGTGGTGCACCCACGGAGGACAACATAATGATGTGGGAGGCAGTCATTTTCGGGCCGCAGGATACACCGTTCGAGGATGGGACATTCAAGTTGACCCTCGAGTTTAGCGAGGAGTACCCGAACAAACCGCCAACAGTCAAATTCGTTTCCAAAATGTTCCATCCGAATGTTTATGCTGATGGCAGTATATGTCTTGACATTTTGCAGGTATCTCGTCGCTGCTTTAAACGAGTGGCTGGGCATTGCGGAAGTCTGCTGATGGAGTTTAGGCCGCGTTTGTTTTTGCCGTGAATGTATTTTCCTGCATTCACCGTTGGTTTCGCTACGGGTTCAAACAAGCTTAGTAATGGAGAAGGGAGGGGAGGGGAGGGGGGG